ACGTCAAATATCGATTCGGATGTGTGATAATTTTGGATAACCGAAACAATTATTATTTAGCATAGTTTAAATAGTTCAAAATTAATATAGTATAGTGACTTCTGACAACAGTTGGTATAAAAGTTAAATTTTACTTTAAGCGGTTATTGTAAATACACTTTAATCGATACATTTCGATACATATATTCGCCATTTTAATACTAGATTTATTATTAAATTGTAACGTTTAATATCTGTGGAGAATAAACGTGGTAGTTAAAAGTTTATAGGCGGGGATCTCCAAGTTTTTTCTTGAAGCTCTTCTAATATTTAATTTAGACCAAAAATATTTTTTTAATATTTTTTTTAATAATAAAACATTTTTCCTGTTAATTTTATATTACTAATTTATAATTTTGAAGTAATTATTCAAAAAATTTGAAGATCCTTTAGCTTATTTTCAATTACAAAACGTTAACATTATAGTCTAAGAGGCAGCTGTTAACTTTTTAAATATTACAATGATTTTTATATCTTTAATGTTACAATAAAAGCTAGTAAATGTAAATATTCGGCACAATTCCATGTAATATATAGATAGAAGTGATATTCTTTTACATTGTATAATGTGTCGTGAAATAGATAATTAATTAATTAAACGATTTGTAACCTTTTTTTGGTCTTATTTATACATCCTGCTTATAATATATATTATAATATTACTCGATATTATATAGTTTCTTTTACAAATTGATAATAAGTTTCGTACACTGATAGACTGTGAGCTGGAGTAACACATAGACTTTTTTGAGGCACCCGAGCGAAGCGAAAGTCTCTAGTCTATACTAATATTATAAATAGGTAGCGTTTATTTGTTTGTCTGAACGCGCTAATCTCAGGAATTACTAATCCGATTTGAAAATTTATTTTTGCATTATCTAGCCCGTTTATTAAAGAATGCTATAGGCTATATATCATCATGCTTCTACCCTATGGAGCGGAGCAGTAATATAATAATTTGTATAATTTATTAAATTAAAACGTACCTACGGACGAACCCGGGTGAAGTGCAGGCACGCCCGCTAGTTAGATATAAAAATGAACTGAATATTATATTAAAGTATATATTCACGTTGAAATTTGATTGATTACCATTGAACTGAAAATTCGCTAATATGTCAAAAGAATCCACGTATATACCGTAAAACCAGCGTGTCTGAGAGAAACTAAGTTCTTCAAAGACATGTAAAGTGAAAATTTAGACCTCGACCCCAAGGTTGCCTGGAAGAGATCGCTTCCAGCGATAAGGTCCGCCTGCTGTGTATCTTTTGTTATTATTTGTATTTTTGTTTTTTTTTTGTTTGGTGTACAATAAAAAATATTATTGTCATTATTGGTATCTCTTTGAAGTTCATGGGTTCGAAGGAGACCGGTCTTTTAGAAGGCTGAGTAGGTCTAACACATTTCCCGTCCCGCATTCGACCATCGCAATGGACTATGTCCTGATACCTCTCGCATTCTCTCTTATAAGGTAAATAAATAAAATAATAAAATGCCCTCACGAAAACTAAAACTTAAATTTTAAGAATCGCCATAAACTGTAAACCCCCTTTCTTACATTATGATATAGTATAAAAAATGGCTTTTCAAGTTAAAACTAAAATCGTCATGCGAATAACCAAATTCGTTTATAGTTTTGGAGATCCCCTCACCCCATAACGCCACCCTGTTAATTACATTACTAGAACGCACTTAGCGTTAATACTTATGTTGACATACGCACAAGTGTTATAATATAACAAGTTAAGGACGTGACGCTTTTGTTTTTTGGGTTCTGTTCATAAATTGTATCTAATGAGACAGGCGTGTTAATTTCAATATTAGGATGGAGCGTGTGGGTTCGATTTTCGTAAGACGCAAATGTTAGTTATAGTCTAAATGAGAGAGCGTAATATCTAATGACAATTACATACTTGCGATATTTTCAAGTGTGAACCATTTCAAACATGAATAATATTTGTCTTATGCTGAAGAAAAATATCGTGCGGAAATCTGCATGTCTAAGAGAACTTAGCAAGTTTTCGAAAGACATGAAGTACCTACGGCAACCCGTCCTCGTCCAGCGTGGTGGACTATGACCTGACCCCCTCGTATTGAATGGAGGCCCACACTCAGCAGTGGGACGTTAAAAAGGGCTGAATACGAGGAATAAAATTATATTAGTGTTATGAGAGAAAGAAATAAAATACAAATATGTTCTTTCTATTTACGCGTACCTAACACCAAAATTGAGATACATCTCAAAAATTTACACTTATAAATACATTTTTACATATGCTTTTGTACGCCTAATCAATATCGATTATAATATTTACGATTAATTCAAGTAGGTAAAGAAAATTATCCATACATATAGTAAAATTCTAAGTCGAATCTGTACATTAGGTAAATATTTTTTTAAATAGTCATTATTATCGACACAGAGGCCGATTATATATATATATATATATATATATAATCGGCCTCTGTGTCTCGTATAGTTTTTACAATTTTTGTCTGTCTGTCTGGGAACGCGTCACGAGAAAACCACTAGACAGATTTTGATTAAATCTGGCACTATGATAGTTGGGTATCCAGGTCAACATGTAGGATACTTTTTTCTGCGGGAAAATATCTCATCTCTGAGAAATCTATACTAAACGTTAAAACGTAAGTAGGGACGAACCTGAGCGGAGCGAGGGTGAGTCGCTAGTATACAATATAATAGTATAAACTACTTATATATGTACATATTAGATTATTAAGAAAAACAAAATATTCCTATCCTAAATATCAAAGGAATAGGCATTCCTACCTAATGACCTATTGTTTAAACGCTTTCATAAAAAGTATAACTTGTAGATACTAGGTAATATTATTATCCAGTTAAATTAAAAAACCTTGTTTAACACAGAGGTCGACAACGGACGGGCCCACTTTTGGGTGCGTACGTGAATGAGCTTTAGTTATAAATTTTTATTAAATATTCGATGGAACCCTCAAATTATTTCTCACCCAGGTTTAAAAGCACAAATAATTGAAAATGACTTTTGTATTTCCTACCATCGATTGAATACGCAAAGACTTGCAGGTTTCTCAGGACGTATCGTTCACTGTAAAACAATTATAGTGGTAATTATGTTGGACATGATTCGCACATGGAAATATCAAAGGTACGAGACCCGGGATTTGAACCCACTTCACTCACATTCCTAAGCAAGTGCGTTACTACTGGGCTTCTACAGCCTTTAATGATTTATCTATTATAATATTATATCATATTTGGCCTTTTATTTAAATAATATCAAAGTGTACTTACAGGATTCGAACCTGCACATTCTAATGTAGGTGGGAGAGAGTGACAAATGTTAGGACATTAACACACAACACCATTTAGTTCCATGGTAAGCTACGAGGCCTGTGTTATGGATACCAGATAGTTGATATACTTATACATATATGTCTTTAAATACATACATATTATAAACGGTACGTTTTAAATAGATATAAATAGTTATTAGCCAATGTTATTAGCCATATAAATATTTTTTTTTCGTTAATTTTTCTGACGTTTTAATACTTAGGTATTAACCTATTCCGGAATGAGAGAAATCCAAAAATTCAAATATCATAAAAATTGGTCCAGCCGTTCTTGAGTCTTGTATACGGGAACGCAGTCGAACGGGCTAAAAAGTATCCTATGTCCGTCTCTTGGTTCTGAGCTATCCCCACCAAGTTTTAGCCAAATCGGTTCAGACGTTCTTGAATTATAAATAGTGTAACTAACACGACTTTCTTTTATATATATAGATATAAACACCCATGACTGGAGTACAAACATTCGTGCTCATCACAAATGAATGCCCCCAGCGGGACTCGAACCCGCGACCGCTGGCACAGCAAGTAGGGTCACTACAAACTGAGCCAAACGTGTCGTCATATAATGTGACAAAGGCGCTACTTTCATGACGACGTCATTAAAAAAAATTAACAACGTCAAAATTGAGTCGATTTTGCTATTTCCCTACGAAATCCTAATGAGCGAAAAGCACGACACTTTAATTTCGCAAAATGTGAATTTAAGAAGTGAGCGAGACGAAATGAATGGTTTGCTTGAAAAGTTTCAAATAGTGTAAAGAATTCCCTAATTAGAATGTATCCAGACGTTAAGTTGCTTTTTATTAAAGCTACCTGTTTAATTACTACTGTATATGTACTTACGTATGTTACAGAATAGCTTTAGAGGTGTGAAAGTTGAATTTACTAGCACTAGCTATATCTAAATATAATTTTAGATTGTTTAATTATTAATTATTTAAAGTAAATGTGATTAATATTAGTAAACATCCGACTGCGCCAGAAAGAAGGTTATGTTTTTCGAGTGTATGTATGTGTGTACCTATAGTTCTTTTAATTTTAGCTTGAGAGGTGTCCTTAAATTCGTCTTAATTGTGAAAAAACCTGGGTATATCAAAATTATAAAAATTAAAATGGGCGATATTTGGTGCCATATTATTTCTTCAAATTTTTTTCCTCAAAGCCTTACGAAAAATCCAAAAGCTATAGACCTAGGTTTTTATTTTATTAAAATGTGTCTAATGTACGAAAACAAAACAAATTTTGCCAGATATATCTATTTATAATCGATTCATTAAACGCATACAGCTAACAGCGTGTTCTATGAATATACAGTATAACTTCTTGCCTGATAGCTGATTTTTATTACACTATCGGTACCTAAATTTTATTAAAAAAGTATACACTTTTAGAATCTATTTGTTTTCTTTATTTTTAAATAAATTTCAATAATTAATATCCATACAAAAAAATATAGTTCAAATAAATTAACCCCCTATCGAACATTTCTTTCAAACTATTTTTTGTTCCTGTGGAGACTGCATAAATATATTTTTTAATTACATTGGTACATTCTAGGTACCTACTTAGCTCTAAATCCTATATAATCTGAGTATCACTCTCTATTTCTTTCCTTTTCCCTTTGCCTTACCCTTAACTTCTGGAACTGGTTCCGGTTCCGGCTCGGGGGGTGGAGGTGGCCAGTATTTGTTGAAGAAGTCGTCATCTGCCGCTAAGGATAGAGGTAAGATGTGTGATTTAAGGTTCCAGGCTTCACGGTCTTTGTCTTCTTGTTCTTCTTGCTCGCGCTCTTCACGGGCACGTAGCTGTAATGTAATACGTAGGTAGATCAAAAATATATCTTATGAAGAAGTTTTTTTAGTAGGTACCAGTGGGTCCATGACGTGTCCATGAAGGGGACAAGACGTCTTACCTAAAATAGATTTTGCTATAATTTTACATATATTTTATATATATATAAATGTAAATTTATAGCAATATATATGTATATATATATAAAATTTCTTTCTGCATTAATACGCACCTATATAATATTTGTAGATTTTTGGAACGGCTTACCTCTGCTAAAATTTCACCCTTCGCCACTGGTAGGTACCTACTGTAGAATGTGCAATATACTCGTACCTAATTGTAACTTGTAATTGTTATATGAACTATTTTTAGAAAAAAAAACAGGTTGCTTATAATGTAAGGAAACGCAAATTGAAAGTTTCCAGTTTGAATGTCTTATAATATGAAATAGGTAGTCTAGATTTAAGAATAACAAACTAGCTAAGCTTTTTTTTCCTTTTAGATACGCTAAGTTTAGCTAATGGACCAAGATAGTCATGAGATCAATATTCTGAGTTAATTTTCTAATATATGTATGTGTTGAAGAAAAAATTTGGCAACGTTAAAACAAAATGTATGGTGTAATCAAAATTTATTTTAAAATATATCTGAAAATAACATTAAAAATTTAAGTAATAGTATAAAAAATGTTTTAAAAGACAAAAATATCTAAAGTGCGTATTACAAAACTTCCGTGATACCATTCAGACAAAGAGAGACAATAGCATTTCCAAGGAGGGTTGACGTCAGGCAGGCGGCCGGTCGTAAAACTTTTGCCAAATTCTTTCAGCAATACAGAAGATGTACTGCGCCGACCCCAAGTGATTGGGAAATGGGCAGGGAGAAGAAGAAGATATGTATGTGTTATCCTAAAACTGGTGTATCTAAGTATATATACCTCTAATAGTGCTAAATACTCTTCATTATCAGGCTCTTTCTTTTTAGCTTTACCCAAAAGCTTTTCCTTTTTAGGGGACTTTTCCTTTTTAGGCTTAGTTTTTAAAGGCGCAAACATTCTTTTCGGATGGTGCATTTGAAACGGAGCATCTATAAGCGTGTATTCGGGTGTAAATGTGAATACTGAACGGACGAGGTCGTACTGATAATCGGTGCTGAATCTAAAATTATTAATTAAAAAAATGCCACAGTTATAAATAAGCTCAATTTAAGAAGAAGTGACTATAGAATGGGAGGAAATTGGTAGAACCCTCGTTTTGCTCAAATTCTAATCCAATAATTGTATAGGAGGAATTCTTTGCAATAAATATAACCAATGTCAAATTCTGGCTTAAAGTTACCATATACAATAACTGAATGCCCATTTTTTTTATTATTTGATTACTAAAGTATTTACTAATACAGCATTTTAACAAAAGTGGACCCACAAAACTGTTCGCACGGTTTGTCTGTGGGATCAGATTCACGATAAGCTTAGATTATAATATTTAAGGATCCTAAGTGAAGTATGTTTAATTATGTTAAATTGTCCATATAATGTTTATTTAATAATTTGGCGAATTTACTTTCATTTGGTTCATGTATCCATACGTCAAAGAAAGATACTCCAAGAGACACATTCGCGTATATTTAATCGCGTATATTATAATATTAGTTAAAATTACCGCGTCCAAGAATCGAACCTGTAACTAGCCCAAGAGTGTACGTAGTGAAAGCTGCACCAATGGCACACTAATTAATTACCAATATATTAAGTGGGATTAACGTTATGAAGCCGAATGCAGGCGAATGAGTTCATTAGGGGTGAAAATTACGGGAACTTATCAAACCCATTTGAATTTCGATAGTCGTATTCGATGAGCTCAATATTTTTTGATCAAATAATATTTTTTAAATGTTTTAGTGTAAACGTTTTAAACTTCAGTCATTGGTTTTTATATATTTAAAAAAATGTGACAGTAGGAAGTTAGTAGGTGTAGAAAGTGAACTTTTAACGATAGATATTATTATGTATTAGCGACTTGGACTCGCTTTAAATTTTTTGCCCGGAACCCAAACTCTTTTTCTAAAACAAAAGTAGCCTAAGTTACTGCTTATTATATCAGCTATTTGCCTGTAAATATCCCATCCAAATCGGTCAAGCAGTATTGTAGATTAGCCGGAACAAATTGTTATTTTCTTATAAGTACAAAGTTTCTTGTAAGTAAAAAGCTGTTATTTTGACATTACAAACAGACACTTCAATTTTATTTATTTGTATAAATGAATAGATTGACGATCGCTTTTTGTTCAAATCGGCCATAGTTCATAAATTATTAATTTTATTAATGTCATTTCGTATAAGTCAGGTTACTTGTATTTATAATTGTTGTTTGTATTTATAATTCAAGAACGGCTGAACCGATTTGGCTGAAACTTGGTGGGGAGGTAGCTTAGAACCAGGAGACGGACATAGGATACTTTTTAGCCCGTTCGACTGCGTTCCCGTATACAAGACTCCAATTTTTATGATATTTGAATTTTTGGATTTCTCTCATTCCGGAATAGGTTTACCTAAGTATTAAAACGTCAGAAAAATTAACGAAAAAAAAATATTTATATGGCTAATAACACTGGCTAATAACTATTTATTTCTATTTAAAACGTACCTAGCGACGAACCCGAGCGAAGCGAGGGTGAGCCGCTAGTACTCAATAAATAAGTCTAGTGAGTATGATAATAAGTATGAAAAGTAAAAAAAAAACTTTCAAACCGGATCCGTAAACAAAAAATGAAATATTTTTTTTTCTTATTTACATAAGACCATCTTATAATATAACACATCCAAAAAAAAAGTGAAAATTGCCACAATTGGCACAGAAATTCCATAATATAGATACACACAAAATCACCAGTACCTACTCTTTCTTGAATGGAATGAGATAGGATACTTTTTATCCTAGTACATTAAAGGATACTATTGTTTTAAAAACCACTACTTGTACTAACAAATCAAATATATAATGTATGATGTGAGTCAAATCCAACATTGAGCATTCATAAGCAGCGCCTTCAAATGAAACAAAATGTTTCGATTTCGGAGTAGTTTGAGACACACTATCGCTCACGTCTTCCTCTGCCTTGTAGTACACATTCACTTGCTGTGGAGTTGGCAGGTGTTCTTCTTCTTCGATGAAACGAGCTGCTGATATCATGTTTTCCTGAAATTTTAGACGGAAGAGTTAAAGGTAGATAGGAGAAAAAAGAAGATGGCGAAAAACTAAGATCGGCTATAAGCTCGGCAATTCAGTGAGTTTTATCATCACTACTTTTAGACATAATTTGACGAATAATTAGTCTGGCTTGTATGGCCGCAGAACCGGACGTCCAAGTTTCGAGTCCCGAGTCAGCCTAAGAATAATTATTGTGGTTTTCTATCAAGTAATTCTTATTAAAGTCCAAGGGACATTGGTGGTGTTTCATCCTCGTTTCTCTCACCGATTGTGTAGAATTGTCATCCCACCGGAGTTCGAGAGCGAAAGGAACAAAAAGTGCACTTTGCGTACACTTGTGCACTATATACATATAATATCTCCTGCGCAGTTCTATTGTCTCAGTGAGATAGATTGCCGTGGCCGAAATCGGTCTGGAGGACCATATTTTTAGAAGTAAAATTACGCTTTTGTTAAGGTTATTTGTATGAATATAAGAACTATTTTTAACCGACTTCCAAAAAGAAGCAGGTTCTCAATTCGTCGAAATCTTTTTTTTATGCCGACAATATTTTAAGATATAAAAAAATAGGTATTACGTATCGAAATATAAAAAAGATATATATTACGTATCGAAATATATTAGATTTGCTTTGCATCAGCTGGCACCGACTTCGAAAATATCTGATTAGGTATCTATTCTAAATGAAAACCCTCGTTTAGTTATTTTTTACATTTTAGTGCCTGGAAGTCAGTTTTTATAAATTTTTTTAAAGTTTTTATTAGAATAGTAATTTATTTCTTAATGTAAAACTATTGAAAAAAAGTCCATGAGTCTATGCTATTTAATTTTTTATAGATGTTTTTTCACATACATATGTTTTACTATAACCTTTTATGAATTTGTATAATAATAGGTATTAAAACTTACCAGCAATAAATTGGCACGTATAAAAATATAAATTAACCATTTGAAATATAGTTCAAGCAAAATAAGCATGCAATTCGACCATTATGATAAACCTAGTGTTTCTTTAATTTAATCGAAGAATTTAACAAACGAATATTGAAGCTTGTAGAGATTAATTTTTATGCCCTATATCGCGGGTTCGAATCTGATGGAGCTAAACGTATTGACTATATACCTACTACATACCTACTTAGATTATAGTATATAGAACCGTATTTTCCTGGGCTGGTTAAGACGTGAAATATTTTTTATTTAAGTACTCATAGACGAAAATAATAGAAGAGCTTACGTCATAAAAAAATTATGACTATATCACAAAGGTGCATAAAGATCAGAACGACTGATAGAACATGTCGTTGGGCAACGAAGGTTTGAGGTTCAGTGCCGCTAAGCGATGAAGAAAAAACGAATTAAAGAAAAAAAAATACATTGACGTTTTGATATAAGTAGGAAAGTAGAACTAGATAAGTATATCATATTGTCATACTATTAATATAAATGCGAAAGTTAATGTGAGTCAAATATGAACACACGTACATTTGTACCTCTACGCTGACGCTGCTGGACGAAATTTAATATAGGTACAAATAAATATAAAATAAATATGTTGGGACATCAACACACAGCACCATCTAGTTCCATGGTGAGCTACGAGACTGGTTATGAGTACCAGATAGTTGATACACTACACATATATAACTTTAACTGCCTCGGTGGTGTAGTGGCTAGCATGTACGGCTGCACACCCGGAGGTCCTGGGTTCGAGTCCCGGGTCGGGCCAAGTTTAGTTATTGAGTCTTGCTGTATAGTAAGTCTCAGTAACAGCCCGGAGTTGGGAAGTTGGCGGTGTTTCACCCCCGTGCCTCGGAGAGCACGTAAAGCCGTCGGTCCTGCGCCTTAACTCTCACCGGTCGTGTCGAGTGGTCGTCCCACCGGAATATGAGAGTGATAGGAATAGAGAGTGCACTTGTGTCTGCGCGTACACTTGGGCACTATAATATTTCCTGCGCAGTTGGCTAATCTCATTGAGACTGGCCGCCGTGGCCGGAATCGGCTAGGAGAACATCACATATAACTTTAAACATACATATTATAAATACAAACATCCATGACTGGAGTACAAACATGCTCATCACACAAATGAATGCCCCCAGCGGGACTCGAACCCGCGACCGCTGACACATCAAGTAGGGTCACTACAAAATGAGCCAAACATGTCGTCAAACAAATATACTATGGCCTAGATTAACTTGTGTTTACTGTTTGACACATAGGAATGTACTGAGCGAAGCGACAATCTCTTCTAGTAGGTACATAGTCACATGTCAAAGACAAAAAATTCTTCGAACGCTTTTTTAAAGCTACGAGTAAGTTTAACTATCCATTTTTTTACCTTTAAATAAATCTAACATCCAACCAAGTCGAAGTAACCGGTCGATGTGCACAAGTAAAAGAATGCTAATCTGCCGTAGGCGCTACTAGGTTACTAACTGCATGGTTATTCAATATTGGACTGAAGTCTGCGCTTATTAAAATAAATCGATATATATTTTAAGGTGTATGTATATATGTATATTTTTGACTTAGTTACATTTGCCTGATTTTTTAAATTACACAATACTAATTTGAAAAAAAAAATATTTCTTCGTCTCGAGTGTTTAATAGAAATTAAAACCCTTTACCGTATGCCATTTGGTTGTGTACATAGTTTAGAAGATAATTAAAAATAAATCAAATGAAAATATACTTTATTCGCATTGACCAACTGCCCTTTTGCATTGTTAAAATTTAAATTAAATGTCAGTAAGTATGCGATGTATGTAAGTCCGTGAGAAAGCTACCACCGGCTTGCAAGTATTTTGGGAAGACTAGAAAAAAAAAACTTAACAGTTACTCTTTTTAAAATAATAGGTATTTATATATATATACAGGGTGGCCCAAAATAACGTTGACAAGCGATTTTTCAAATAATTTTATTAACTTTAAATTTAAATGAAATTATGCTATAAATTATAAAAATAAAACTTATTTTTTACAAGAATCCCTATTTGTCTTTAAAATAACCTCCTTTAGCGCGAATGCATACAGTCAAACGCTTGGTAAAATTTTCTACAATTTTCCGCACTTCTTCAACAGATATTTTGTCCCACTCCGGTGTAAGAGTAGCCTTCAGATCATCAACAGTTCTATGAGGCATAGAACAGGTCCTTGCCTCTAATATTGACCATAAACTGTAATCCATTAGATTCAGATCAGGCGAGTAGGGTGGCCATTCTTTTGAGCTAATGAAATCAGGGAAATTGCTTTTGCACCACTATTGAACACTTAAAGCTCTGAGAGCTGGAGCAGAGTCTTGTTGAAATATCCATGAATGGTTATCAAAGTGCTGTTGACTCCAAGGAACAACCACAGATTCAAGGATGTCTCGTCGGTAATTTTCTTGGTTAATTTTTATACCATTTTCTACAAAAACGAGGGGAGTTTTGCCAGTGGCGCAAATTGCACCCCTAACCATAATTGATTTTGCGTTTTGGCGACGTGGAATGACTGCGGCAGCTGCAGGACAAAAGGAAGACCAAATCCTGTCATTTTGGTGATTATGGGCTTGTTCTATCGAAAACCATTTTTCGTCGGAGAATACGATATTTTTCCAATTCGAAGCAGCGGAGCGTTGTTTAAGCAAACAACATCTCTCAAGGCGAACTTTTTTGTCTTTCTCTGTAAGCAATTGCGCTTTTCTGAGTTTGTATGGTATCAATTGGAGATCATATTTCACTATACGCTGCACGGTAGAGCGACTTATCCCTAAGTCTCGCGACATTTTTCTCAACTTGGTATGTGGATTTCGGACTAATTTTTGTTTGATAATGTGTTCGTTCCTAGCAGTTCGAACAGTCCGCTTGCGTCCTCTCCCAGGACGGTCTTCAATGTTGCCGAGCTCAACATAGCGTTTAATTGCTGAAGAAACTAGCTGACGACTAACACCAAGAATGTTTACTATCTCACACTGCCGTTTTCCACGCTCATACAATGAAATTATGGCTACACGCTGCTCTGACATAACGTAATAAATATATTTAAAAACTTTTTAGCCAACAAACAATATTAAAACGGCGCCAAAGAATGAAGAAAGAATAATCAAAAACAAAAGAGAACGCAAGGCATTCCATTTTTACAATATTATTTTTTTAATTTTGTCAACGTTATTTTGGACCACCCTGTATATAGGCTTACTGTCGCATTTACAATACATATTAACACTGATTATATTAATATAATTTAAATATTTTTATTATTAATAATAATAAGATAATATCTTAATATAAATAAGATAAATTACATCAAACTAAAAAAAAACCTTAAGTATATATACATAATATAATAACTAAAAAATATTATTAAAAGGAATCCCTTTAGGCAAGGTTCCGAAGATACTGGCAGCGTTCCCCCTTTGAATAGCTAGACTAATTCTCTGTCCGAAGTAGCTGCCAGCTCTTCGGTCTCCTGTGACGTCGAATAACCTTTTTAGTATTTCCTTAAAAAGTCTTATAGCGCTAGGACCCCACGGACCAAGGGTCTCGACACCGAAAGGAACAAAATCATATTCAGAACCTAGATCCCTGTATTTGTATGCTTTGGTTTTTTCAGCCGCTTCACAAGCCGCACCAGCTCTGTTGTTGGTTCCATGTAGATGGGAAGGGGCGAGCGTGTCTGAACAGGTTGCATCTCATACCAGCACCCAGCCCATCTTCCATGGAATTAATCTCTTGGTCTCTTGCCATCGTCTCTTGCAATACCAGTCGGCTCAAGTAGACTTGGCACGTTGATGGTGGCAAGGGACCGGCGTATGATATCGTTAAGCGCGGCATGTCTCGAGAAGCGGCTTGCACTTTTTTGGCATGACAGACCATGATGTCCTAGCTTGTCGACATCACTACCACAGGGACATTTATGAGGAGCGCAGACCGGAACCCCAAGCCGTAGACAGGTTGCGATTCGGAGCGTTTCAGGCTCAAGAAATGTTCCTGTATTTGACGAAGGGTACGCGTGAAGCCAGTAGCGAGCCTCATGCGTACCCACGGCCAAAAGCCTAGCACGCGCCGAGCCTGTACTACAGCTTAAAAGACTGTCATAAGTCAATTTGCAGTTTATGTCGTCCCAGCTCCTCTGTGAATTTGCAGAAACTGGAAGATTTTGACCTGGGCATGCAATTAAAAAAGCGTTTCTAACTTCTTCCAAACCAGCAATCTCAAAGTTTGAAGGGGATGCCCTTAAAACTTTACTTATGAGATTCGCTGAACTATGGATAGAAGATAGGAAGGCTGGTAAAGCGACACTGGAAATTTTGCGAATCCCTAAACCACCATAACGGATAGGTAGGGATGCTTGGGTCCAAGATTGCTCGTTCAATTGCATATTAAGAATCGATTCTAAGCTGATTTTGATTAAGTCGTCTACTTGTGTTAAAAGATCTGGGTGATTCCAAAAGGAGCAGCAACGGAGCGCATACGTAAATTTTGGGACGAAAAGACAGCATTTTAAGATGCAAAGTGCATAATGTGGACTAATTTCAAGGAGACGGTGAACAGAATTTTGAAATTTAGTGATTGAATTATTAATATATTCAAAAATAGATTCATCAAAAATTGGAGAACCTAAAAGGTAAAGGGAATTACTGTTAACTATTTTAATATTTGGAGCCAGAATATTAAATTTTTCTTTTACATCATTTATACATATGTCACAGTTATTTATAAAAAGTTCGCATTTGCTAAAATTAAGTTCCAAACCAATGGCTTCAAATTTATTTTTGATTAAAAAAGGTCCGAAAACACAGTATCCACATCACCTCCTAGAGTTCCGTCGTCCAAATACCAGACGTTGAATTTAGAATTTAATTTTTTAATTATCGGATTTATAGCCAAACTAAAAATTGCAGGCCCAAGGGGATCACCCTGTTGACAACCTACTTCCGAGGATAGTTCATTAGAATGATATAATAATTTTGTTGGGTCAGCGTAACTGAGAAGAAGATAATTGTATATTTCCGGTATATGCTGTTTTATTTCTGTCAGCAGGGTATCCCTATTTACCGAATTCAATCAATTTTGAGCAACACGTCAGGCTGGGCGTAAGTTAGGAAAGAGCGTAAGGCATGGACGGCTGCCTCATAGGCTCCTTTTACACCGAAACCTAACTGTACGGGTTCAAATTCCGAATTTAATTTTGGTAAAATATGTCGAACAGCAATTTTGGCGGCCAGACGTCGAAGTGTTGATCCAACAGCAATTGGTTTCACCCCTCCGTCCTTTTTGGTGAGAGCGATGAGGTTCGCGCCGAAAAGAATGGGAACAATTTCTGGATTGACATTACCGGAAACATAAAATAGATTAATTTAGTGATCGAATTTACAATTTTCTCACCTGCATCACCCACAGAATACGATGTTAAGTCTTTCAAATGTTGGGGTGAGATTCCATCCAAGCCTGCAGCCGAACCTGTATTAAAAGATAAAATGGCATCCGCAACATCTTTGATTTGAATTTTAAGGCATTCTTGCACTGCTGTTGGTGGGTCGAGAAAAAAATGGGTTTACTGGAGCTGGAGGGTGTTTTTTCCGTAAGGCCTGAAGGGTGTCAGGGGTATCTGGTTATAGCACGTCGTTGGAGAACAAAAGGCGAGCGGCACCTTTAAGATCTCCGTCACATATTTTGTTTTGGATGAATTTGTTGCGATTACGATCATGTTTGATTTGAGGTGCGGGAGAAGGCGAGGAGCTTACAGCACAGTTATTCTTGATCTTCTGTGTCAAGGATAAATTCGGTTTTTCAGTTCCTATTATATGTAGTGTACTGTATGAAAATAAAAATAGGTTCTGCCAGTCTTGAGTACGATTGCTAATGTAACATTTCTGGATTAAATGTGACAAATGTGTAGCAACTGTTGTCCGAGCTCCTCGTGGGATTTTTTTAACTATGGGTACACTATTTTTCAAATGGCTAAGATATGTGTGGAAAGGAGTTGCATCGTTGGCTACATAAGTAGGCGCATTCGGAATAATGGGGTGGATATCTAAAGGTGGACTGTTTTGGCTACTACATTTTCTGTGTGTTTTTGTAGTGTGTATGTTGAGGCCTTTCAAAGATTTGAATGATTTGTTGCACTGTGTACATGTATGGGTCGTGTTCGACGTGCTATCACAAGATTGGGTCACGGACTGCATTTAAAACATTTCAATACTTAATTAAAAAAAATAGCTTAAAACTAATTTAAAAACACAATAAGGTAACTTAAAATAAACACTGAAAAAATAAATAAAAATAAAAAGTCAAAATATGACGGCTGCTTTTTACGTGCAAATTTTACGTGTCCGGGCTTGTATAATTTGTTTACTAACTGGGACCGGCCGTTGGAGCAGACGGGTCCTGGAGTGGAGAGCTCGTCTTGGCAAACGCAGTGTGGGATGTCCTCCGGCCCGTTGGATCGACGATCTACGTAAGATTGTCTGAGTAGGCAGGATGAGGATTGCGGAAAACCGGGATGTCTGGCTTGAACTTGGGGAGGCCTATGTCCAGCAGTGGACTGCAATAGGCTGAGCCATTAATTTGTATAATTCCATTTATTATTCATTTCACTTTTCCGTGTCTGTTTCTCCTCTTTTGTACACAGACAAATATATAATTTGAAAGTGAGGCTTTTTTATTACACTTTACCAACGTTTTTCAAATAATTTAAAACGTAATTTTTAATTAAAAACGTATAAAATATATAAAAGTAAATTTCCGACTTTGACAGTTTGACACTTGATTGTATAATAATGTATTTATATATATATGTATATATATATATATATATATATATATATATATATATATATATATACTTTATAATATTGCAATACAATAATTACACTTTTTTCTTATATACTTTCATAATAAGATTTACGCGAATATTTGACATTTTAAATAAAACTATATTTTCGTATTATTTCCATTAGTAATTAGTGACCATGATTGCTGTAAAGCATTCGAAACGTCGGGAACCAAAAATTAAAATATAATATCCGTATATTTTAATTTTTGGTTCCCGACGTTTCGAATGCTTTACAGCAATCATGGTCACGGGAAAGACTGAAGTTAAATAACAAAGATTTCAAAGGATATGTAGCTTATGATAAGTGGAAGAATTTTCAGGATCTATTAAATATTTTAGTGGTTATCTGTCACATACGAACAAAAAATGAATCTGAGCAATCAGTGTCTACGAGTAAGTATATCAAAAATTACATAAATAAATAAATTAATATGTTGGGACATTCATACACAGCACGATCTAGTTCCATGGTGAGCTACGAGGCTTGTGCTATGGATACCAGATAGTTGATACACTACACATAGGTACCTATATAACTTTAAATACATACATATTATAAATATAAACACCCATGACTAGAGTACAAACATTCATGCTTATCACACAAATGAATGCCACCAGCGGGACTCGAACCCGAGACCGCTGGTACAATAAGTAGGGTCACTACAAATTGAGCCAAACGTGTCGTCAAAACATCAACATGAGGCTCAACTAGAACATATGCAAAAGAACATCTGCAATATATTCTTCTCGTATGAGCTCTCTCTCTCAATATATACATATAATAAAATTGTAACTAAGCCGAATCTGTACATTAAATATTTATTGGAAAATCTTATTGAAATAAACATTATTATCGATGCAGAAGCCGAATTTATAGTTCTTAGAATTTTTGTCTGTCTGTCTGTTACTGCATCACAAAAAAACCACTAAAGGGATTTTGATGAAATTTGGTATGATGACAGCAGGTTATCCGGATCAACATATAAGATACTTTTTATCGCGAGAAAATATCTTATTTCTCAGAAAATATACAAAAACTGCATTGTAAGAGTATACTTACTATATGTAAAACCTAAGAATTTGGTTTTTGGTCATCTGAACGCGAGCGGAGCTGCGGGGAATGCTAGTAATGTTATATTCGCACTAAACCACAAACAGTAGCTCATATAGTGTTCATATGAATGTTCAATGATGTACCTTTAACCGTTTCATCATGCGTTGCCGATCTGCCGCGTCGAAGTGTTGTATTTCCTTCATCCACTCGCAAAACCACAAAATTAGTATCGCCTGAGATGCTGCAAATGGAATAAAAAATATAAAATACTTTAAAATAGAAATATGTCATCGTAGTATATTGAAAAAAGGCTAAAAACATGTTTTATGGGTTTAGCTTTGCTTGTATTTTAAAAATCAGTGGCATTACTATAGTTGTTAAAAGAAAATATGTATAGTTATTTTGCCATTGCACATAGTTATTGGCCCATGGTCGAAAATCGACCATAATTCGTTATTACGGTCCTTTTTTTGGTTCGTTAGATAGTCTCTAAATTTCCTCAATGAATAGATTATAAAATTCAAAAAGCTTTTTTTTAAATGCAACACAGTTCTAGGATAAGCATGTGCAAACAAACAAACTCTTCAGCTTTATACATACATAACTACATCTACAATTGACGAAGGTATACCTGTACAATCTAACATCATGTTACATCTTTTAAAAGCGGATTAATCTATACATACTCGTATAATAAAATTGTAACAAGCCGAATCTTTACATTAAGTATTTTTCAGAAAATCTTATTGAAATAAACATTATTATCGATACAGAGGGCGAATCTATAGTTTTTAGAATTTTTGTTTGTCTGTCCGTTACCGCATCATAGAAAAACCAATGGAGGGATTTTAATGAAATTTGGTATAGTGATAGCTGATTATTCGGGTTAACATATAGAATACTTTTAACCACGGGAAAATGTCTCATTTCTGAGAAAAAATACAATAACTGCGATGTAAGAGTAAACTAATAAGTAAAACCTAGAATTTGGTTTTTGGTCATCTGAAATGCAATCTGAAATGCCGCGAGCAATGCTAGTTATATATAAATAAGTACGCGAGCAAAGCTGTGGACGAATGCAAGTCAATTAGCTTTCTGCAGTCCTTCTCCATATAAACTAACTATGCCAAAGCTCATATTTCTCCGTCCGCAATATGCTTAAAAATAGGGAACATAGTTTTCTCTTTGGGTACAAGACTTTAACTTTAGAAAATTACGTAAAAGGATCTCAGTACTAACGTCTACTCATATTATCTTCCTGAGCCCTTCTTATTAAATTTGCTAGGGTGTCTAAAAACCAGAATTCAGCCAAGCTCTTCTTGTATTTAGTACATCCTGTAATATCACCCAATATATCTATATATTTCTGTTGAGGAGTTGATTTTATTTTTGGAATTATATTTGGATCAACATCAGTCTTAAACTCTTCTGGAAGAACGTGTACTTTATTATACTCTTGTATACTTCTAACTTTATCTGGTAAGACTCTTCTTAAAGAAGGAGTGGGAAATATTTCTGGTTGTTCCTCTGGTGTTACCTCAAGCTGTGGTGATTTTAGTTCTTCTTCAATAGCTTCCTCTATTTGTTGTTCTTCGCCAGCATCTGTTTGCTCTATAGATGTTTAAGAAAAAAGAAATTGATTTTAAAGTCACGCCTTCTTTCTTATAAGTAGGTACCATATTTAATTGCATAATATGCAATTAGCACACAGACAGACAGACAAAAATTTGAAAAATTGATTTTTCTTATAAGTACCGTATATAATTTAATATGCATTTAGTAAAAACCTGTTATTGTGACAAGCAGACACTTCAATTTTATTTATCTGTATATATTTATATTTACTCATAAGCAGCTTCCAGTAGCCGGTGCGTCTACTAGCTAGAAAATCACCACAGATTTGTTCTACTATGCATTTTCCCATTTTGATTTGACAAAGAGAACATCCATACGGAAACACATGTATGTACTATGGCCCATTTGACGGTATAAGTCAACGCTTTAAACAAATTCGTATGGTTATATCTAAAACCGGGAACTAACTTATGGTGCCGTACGGAAAAAAAATCAACGATGTAATAGATTAAACAGAGTTCATTTTATTCAAGTTTCTTTTACATGATTATTAAAATTATATTGAAATTCATATTTTTTACTAATTATAATAGATTAGTCCGATACCCCGAATTCTACAATCAATTAAAAATAAACATATTTAAAGATTTTAATCTATACTAATACTAATTAATATTATAAAGAGATAAAGTTTGTGAGTTTGTGAGATTGTGAGTTTGTGACGTTGTGGGGGGTAGTCTCTGGATCTACTGAACCGAATTAGATGAAATTTAGTAAGAAGATAGTTTGAGACCCTGGGAATGACATAGGATACATTTTATCCCGAAAATCATTCCTTAAGGGGGTGAAAATGGGGATGAAAGTTCATATTGGGAAGCTAGTTAGGGACGAACCCGAGCGAAGCGAGGGTGAGTCGCTAGTTGTGCTTATACACATCTATATGTACAGCGAGATAAACCTTTTAAGACCATTTCTTCGGATTCAGACGAAGTTTCTATAGACTCTTGTGCAGATCTGATACATTCTAAGCCTGCGTCATATAAAAGCTTATCTAGCAGCATTTTGTGAGAGTCCTCAATTTTACGCGATGCCATTTTAATAACTTTCATACAATCTTAAAATTAATAAACTTCTGATTTAAGTTTTTCGCTAATAATGACAAGAGCTGACAAATGTCTTCATATAAAATATATAAGTACATGAAATCTCTTTGGTGAAATGTTAATTACAAAACTAGCGACTCACCCTCGATCCGCTCGGGCTTGTCCCTAGTTACGTTTTAATGTTTAGTATATATTTCTCAAAGATGAGATATTTTCCGCAGTAAAAAGTATCCTATATGTTGACCCGGATAACCAGCTATCATCATACCCAATGTCATCAAAATCTGTCCAGTAGTTTCTCGTGATGCGTTCCCAGACAGACAGACAAAAAATTTATAAACTATAGATTCGGCTTCTGTATCGATAATAATGACTATTTCAATAAGATTTTCCAAAAAAAAAATTAATCTACAGATTAGACTAAGTTAAAATTTTATTATATGTATGAACCTATAGATAATGCTACCTTCCAACTAAAGTTACATCATATTAACATATCGACCCCACATTTATAGTTTTAAGGTATAATGCCACTTAACACGTTAGCGACACTATCAACGAATTATAATTTTAGATCAGTTGCAACCAGACGACCTTTTTTCGGGGTGTTAGAGTAGTAAATTGTTTAAGACATTTCGAATAAAAGCTAGTACATCAAACAAATTCGAGGAACGTTCGAGAATTCATTAATATACCTTGACAATTAGTGTTCACTAATTGGAACTCCAAATCTAGGGTCCTAAAAGGGTCGTACCCTTAAAAATAGGAATTAAATAGACATATATTATGATCCGTCTATATATATAATCCGTCTATGTATATAGCTCGCGATAGTTTTGGGGTGAGGTTGGAAACTATTTTCGTAGACTGCATTGTTATACTTGTATTTTATCCGATTTTGAAATAGGAGGTTTTCATTTGTATGTTTTTCTGTCTGAATGATAAGGATCTATAGCGATTGTGAAGTGGTTTCATGCCTTATTTTTTTAATAGACTCGCTTTAATTAAACTTATTTTTTTAAGGATCTGTCAAGTTAACACTATAATTTGTGTTTTAATAAAAAAATTAATAGAAAGAACTACTGTATCGAATTTTGAAATGATTATTTTTCTACAATATTCATCAAATTTTATATTGTGTTTACGAGACGTCATACATATAACTGTCTCATATATTTATGTATGTATTCAGCCTTTATTAACGTTCCACCGCTGGGCACAGGACTGCCTTCAACATGAGGAGGGATCAGGCAATAGTCCTCCACGCTGGCCAAGTTCGGGCGGACTGAGCATGTCTTTCGAGAATCGAGAATTTGCTAGGTTCTCTCAGACATGCAGGTTTCCTCACGATGTTTTCCTTTACCGTAAGACAAATGGTAATCATGATGGAAATGATTCGTGCATGAAAATATCATGATCATATAATCTTATATAATATATCATATCATATATGATTATAAAATACTCAGTTGATAAAAAGGGGTAGATATCATATCTAAACTCTAAACGCCAATAGACCTTACTAAAAAGGCATTAGCAGATATTATAACTGACCAATGTTCGATAGCATAATATTAGCTTATAGAATTTACTTTATATATAAACTGTCATTTATATACTATTTTAAAATATTATTTTTTGGCTCCGTTTTAAGTTCTATGACACTGTCTTTATAACTCCTTAGTCTGAGTTAAAAATAACTACTAAATGTAAGTATGTCATACGTATACTAAGTAATATATTAAAAATCATGAATATCATTTATTATAATAATAATATCATGAATTTATAAGGTTTAGAAATACTTAAAACCTAGGGTTTAAAGACTAAACTAAACTAGATTTTAAACCTATTTTATCAACTCTTCGACTCTAAGACTCTACATTCAGATACTAAGTCTAATAATATATGCCACATATGAATAAAACACAATCCTTCTCATCAAAACAAAACCCTCTTAAAAAATTTAATTACGCAAAATTTCCACAGCCGCCATCAAAAACTACTAAATGAATAGTGGAATACAGAAGTAAATCTATATACACTACAGTAGTTCGGGACCCTTCCAAATATAACGAAGGGTCTCCCCTAGTTTATATCACTCTAGTTTTAGGCTAGATCCGATATCAGGGCTACCATAATAAAAATGTTAATATTTAATTAAATAAATCGCAGGTGTAATTACTGTTTTTTATGTTGGTCATATCGTTTTAGAATTTAGAGAGAGAGAGAGAGTTAAGATAAATGCCCTAAAATGAACGGAGAGTAGAAAAATGGTGGATTAAATCTCTTCCTATATTTTACGAGAAATAAGCACTATTAGACGAGTTAGTTACTTAGTTATACCTACAACGTATATAAATAAAATATACCTACAAGTTTGTTTGTTCTTCATGAAACCAATTTCGAGTGCATTTACAATGACGAAGTCGCGGGCAATGGTAGAGTTGAAAATAAATTAAAAATGTAGAAACGGCATGTTCTGATCATGCAAAATAAACACTATTTCATTACATTTTTGGTCTACTTTGATTTAGCAACATCTTTGCTAATTGAGAACTGATTTTTATTCTATGATCACTATCATCGAGCATATTTTTTATCAATATACACGGAGAGAAGAGACATTAAAAATATAAACTAAATACATATACATAATTAAAATAGTTAGGGATGTTATCATGTAGTTTAGCTATTTTAATTGTTAATAATCGCTTGCTTTGGTTTTGCTTTATTTTAATTTGACACCCTAAGATATTGTTTCCCAAACAAAATTTGCAATTCTATTCATCCCTTTAAAAATAATGGATTTAAAAAAAACTTAGCGGTACATCTCTACATATAATAAAATTCTAACTGAGCCGAATCTATACATGAAATATTTTTTGAAAAATCTTAATGAAATAGACATTATTATCGATACAGAGACCGAATTTTAGGAGAGATTTTAGAATTTTTGTCTGTCTGTCTGTCTGTTACCGCATCATGGAAAAACCACTGAATGGATTTTGATGAAATTTAATATGGTGATAGCTGGTTATCCGGGTCAACATATAAAATACTTTTTATTGTGAGAAAATAACTCATTTTTGAGAAATCTATACTAAATATCAAAACGTAAGTAGGGACGAACCCGAGCGGAGCGAAGGTGAGTCGCTAGTTCAATATATATCCTTATATGTATTACGCACTATAAAATTTCCGCTCTCTAAGTCCAGCAGTGGTCTATATTCTGAAAGACTTTCAGACAAGAGCTTAACAGCCTCTAGCGTTTTAGTTGTGGAGCTGACCTATGTATTGGATAACAGATTCGATTTCCGCATCTACAACGAAGTAGTCCATGCATATTATTATAGTCTATGTATTTTTCTTGAATATTCCTGACCACAGTTTAGAAAAGGTTGCATGCAATGATGTTTAAGCTTACATTTACTTAAATAATAGAATATATTTAACATGACAACCCTACTTGTTTCCTCGGTATTAAACCGTCCCCCTACGCTCGAGGGCACCTCGGTCCCGCTAGATATTACTGCTACTATTGCGATTTAATGTAAAAATACTAAAAGATTATGAGATAACGATTATTTTACATATTTATGATACGGTTTTTACATATCCACCCTTTCAGAGTAGAATGGAGGTACAAATTATTGTGTTTATCCTCATTGCCATAGGATTTTCAAGTACTTTGTGGTTTGATGAAGACAATATACTTATTATGCATATATTATATAAGGTATTAATGTTACTCATTCATAGTTTATTTCTTTATTGTAACTTTTAATTTGGTACTTGAATTGTTTTTGTAGAGGTTTTAAGGCTATAGATGTCATCTATTCATATAATAAAATTGTAACTAAGCCGAATCTGTACATTAAATATTTTTTGGAAAATCTCATTGGAATAGACATTATTATCGATACAGGGGCCGAATTTATAGTTTTTAGAATTTTTGTCTGTCTGTCTGTTACATCACAGAAAAACCACTGGGGGATTTTGATGAAATTTGGTGTAGTGATAGCTGGTTATCCGGGTCAACATATAGGATACTTTTTACCGCGGGAAAATATGTCTTTTCTGAGAAAATATACAAAAACTGCAATGTAAGAGTATACTAATATGTAAAACCTAAGAATTTGGTTTTTAGCCATCTGAACGCGGGCGGAGCCGCGGGCAATGCTAGTTGGTGATATTAATCTGTACAAGTCGTAAAATGTCTACAATAAGATTAAGATGTAAATATACGAGATTAATGAAAAATGGTAAGAATTCCATTAATATTGTAAATGCGAAAGTTTGGATGGATGGATGTTTGTTACTCAATCACGCCAGAACGGCTTAACGTAACGGGAATAGCGCATCGGTTACGTTTTATCATGGAAAATGTACGGTTCCCGTGGGATAGATTTGTTTTTATTTTTCACAGAGCAAATGCTCGACTACCTATTCCATACCTTTTTAATACGAATAATACCAATTTTTAACTAACGATTATTATAATAGATATAAAACTTGATCTCTACACAAATGTATCATTATCTTAAAACATAAGAATACATTAAAACCTTATACAACTAAGAAATAGATTGTCATAAAATCTAGATTTTTTCTAGACGGAGGCTCAAAAAAATCGTTTAGCTCACGCATTATTATGTAGTGTGCATACAGGCGGTGGTGTGTGTGACGCACACGGGCGCGCGGTGCGTGCGTGGCAAAAATGCACCGCGACTTGGTTAAATATTGGACGCGCTAGAATTGTGTGGAGTCGTCATAATATTTTAAATATTATTACTATTAATAATAGCCGTAATGCTCTGTATAAATTAACACTATTTTATATAATATGTTTATTATTATTAATATTAAGAATCATCATTATTTATCGAAAAGTGGAAATTTTTTTGCTTAGTCGTTTTTTGCTTAGTCTCTTGGATTAAGAAAAAGTTGGTTTAGCTAAACGAGTAGGTAGGTAATAAAATTTTAAAGTG